ACATACACATGTATGCATACACATAAATGAATTTAATAAAAAATATTTTAAATGTTTGTCAACTATCAGTCTGACTTCAGTAGTTTTAATTTAAATCCAGTACTCAGTTCTTAAATTCTCTTTACTCTGGTTAATTAGATAAACATAACATTCATGTCTTCTAAATTTGTACACTTTTCATATCAGGATGAAAGTGGATTGAATTGTGATAGCTTTTGTAAGCATCTTGTCTTCCATAAGTAGTAGGACTAACTTAGTCATCCTGGTGCACAGACCACATTCTTTCAGTATTTATCATAAATCAACTTTGAATCATATGACTATTTAATTTTTGCTATTAATCTTTAATATTTTTCCTATTCTTTAGAAACATGGGGTTTTCCTGAGTAGCTTCCTCCCTTATAGAAAATGTTAATGTAAATAATTATTTCACATTGGTTTGTGCAATTAATTCTGGCAGAAACTTTTACACTAAAATATGAAAATGACTTTTTGCAAAGCAAAATAACATATTGCAGTGTATGTATTTTTCTATATTTTTATATTTTTTTATACGAGTACCTTTGGGCATAATTGGTATGATACAGTTGATTAGGGAACATTTACCTTCACTTTTTTGCTCATGTTGTAGTATCTTTGAGAAGCGTATCAGTTCTACTTCATAGATTCAGGCTACTTGTTCTTTGAAAGCACCAGAGGTTGCGAGGCACCTTGTTCATTCTGGTTTACTACAAGTGGGAGATAGTCTCAGCCATTCATTCTCTGGACTTTTTTTTCCTACTCTATTGTCAGTTCTGGCATGACAAATAAGAGTTTCATTTAAAAGTAGGGTTGGAGCTGGTTGTAATTGGCTCATGCTTTTAATGTTAACACTTCAGAAGTTGAAGCAAGAGGCCCTCCATGAGTTCCAGACCAATGTGGGCTACACAGTAAGTTCTAGAGTTTCCAGTTTTGTGTATAGTTTGTCTGCTTGATGGTTATTTAATGATGGGATACTTGATTTTAGTTAATACTCAGGTTCATACTGAGCAGAATATAATCAGGTAATGTCCTAGGATCAAGCAGGGCCAGATAGCATGAGCAAAGAGCTTTGTTTTACTTTCTATAGAGTCATAATTACTTGTCACAGTATAATGTTGTCCTCGGTGCCAGGTCCCCTATTTTTAGGATGTGATATTTTTAGGATGGGCTACAGGGTCCATGTAATACAAACACATTGGGTCTTACAGATAGCTCACAGATCCAAGTATCAGACCTACTTGTTTTTCTCATTTTTTTACTTGTTTCTCAAAATTTAAAGCCATGGAATTTACTCAATATATGTGTCTAGGTTATAAACCAAATGGGTATATTTTGCCTTAGTTACTCAAAAAGGCCTTTCAAACATTTCATCTTTAATTATAAGAAATGCATAATGAAGCAATATGTTTTATCCTAAAACAAGCATGTGTTCTTCTCATGTACTCAAACTTTGAGACTTATTTCCTACTTTCTGGAACACTCATGTTTTTCTAGAGCCTTGAGAATACCTGCTTTTTACCATCAGAATACCATCAGTATAATACATCACTATGGTGTCCTGTGGAATTATTTGAAGATTACAATTCTTGTAAACCAGTGGCTAAGAGACAACAGACTGACAGAGATTTAAACAGTAGAGAAAAAAGTATGCTCTTGTTAACTAAGTGAATGCACACTGCTTCACTTTCCCTGTGTATTAGAATCACCATGTGCCTACAAAGTTTAAGTTAGTGTTGCCCCTTCCAGGAAAGGCTACCTCTGCACAATAACACTATGTAATCCAATACACCTAGATTAAGTTAAGCATCCACTGCTGCTCTAAGAACTTGCTCTAAGAACTTTCTATCTTTTATGTAGCTCATGTGGACAAGTAATTTGGCATGTGGTAGGAATTTCTGCCCTCCATATTCCAAGCCTTTACTGTGGCAATGTGCTCCATGAATCCCCCAGATGAACATGCATCATGAAGCACTTTGTGAAGAGTGAGTTTTAAGGAAGAACTCTCTAACCCACAGTGTTGTGGAATACTTAACTATGTAAAGATGTGTTACATTTGTTTGTGCCGCATTTGTTTAAATATGAAAACATGTATTGCATTTGTTTCACCTTGCTTGCCTACGGCACCTGATTGGTCTAATAAAAAACTGAACGGCCAATAGCTAGGCAGACAAAAGCTAGGCAGGGCTGGCAGACAGGGAGAATAAATAGGAGAAATCTAGGAAAGGGCAAAGGAATGAGAGAAAAAGAAAAAAGGAGAGAACAAGGGAGATAGAGAGGGGCACACCAGGGCCAAGAAGCCAGCAGCCACCAGGTAGCCAGACATGAGAAACAGTGAAAGTAGGATACACAGAAGGAAAGAAAAGTAAAAATTCCCAAAGCAATAGATAGGTAAAGAGAAGCAAGTGAATTTAAGTTAAAAGAGCTAGTCAGAAATGAGCCCAAGCTAGGCTGAGCATTCATAACTAATAAGAAATCTTCATGTCATAATTTGGGAGCTGGTTGGTGGCCCAAAATAAAAAGCCTGGTTGGTATGCCCATAGGATCACAGAGGACATTGCTGCTTCTGCGATGATTAAAAACCTGCATAATTAGCTAGATTCTCAATGGCTGCTGAGACAGATCCTTGTCAACAAAATGCACACTCAGCACCCACTTCTGGTCTCTTCTTCTGTAATACACTTTTAATTCAGGGGCTCAGTGAGCTCATCTCATCAGCAGAGCTCAGCTCATTCTCACTTCATAGGCACTTGGGAAAAGATTGTTTCTGGCTCTTTAGGTTCCTGAAATAAAGGAAGTTTCAATAGGAAAAGAAAGGTTGATTTGAGTGTTGAGCTAGGGTTTTCTTAGTTTCATAGTTAGCTAAAATATATTGTTGATAATTCTGACCTCTATATCAGTCTTCCTAAGAGACTCCATTATATATCAAAGAAAGAGAAGCTTCGAGTATAACTTTGGATACATAGAGGTCATTTAAAAATAATATTTACAGAATTGTAAACTGAACTAAGAATTATATAACCTTTTTTACCTTGTGAAATTTAGTCAGAATAGTAGTTCTTTTCTATACTATCGACGAGGTCTTTATTTTGAAATTCTCAGCATCATTCTCTACCAGGATTACATTCATTCCATAATAAAGTTTATTTGTAGCATTTAACTTTTCAGTGGCTAGTAAATTAAATTTATAGCATATACCCATCAATGCTTTTATATTATCATTATGAATTATAGCATTGTGATGCTTATTGAGTACCTTATTAGGTATCTGACACTAAGCTCAGCATTTTTACTGTCTTAATGTGCTTAACACTTGTAGTATGTAGTTACCTTCACAGTTGGTTTGCATGTGGGGAAGCTGTGACACAAAGCCTATATAGTGAGTGCTAGGTTAAGCTCGGAAACAGCCAAGCTAAGATTTGGTTCAGTTGGGAGACTCTCTAACATAGCCTCATTCCTGGCAACACCATTTTACTACGACTCCAAAGTCCCCTTTATTTTGTGTCATTTTTTTTCTCCTTTTGAGAAAATTCTTTAGAGAAAGGTCCACACAAAATTGAAGCACCAGTTAAAATTAAATAACCATCTGAAATCTCATAGCGTTCAGATAAGGTCATGTTTTTCTTTAACTACAAAAATGAAAATGCTGTAAACATTTTAAGTTTACCAATAGTACTACATTTTAATGAGCAATCTGAATCTAAACCAATTATATTGTTAATAAACAATGATAAGGAAATATCTAAGTGTCCCTGGGATAGCGTAGTTCCATAATTAGGTTAGCTTAGGCTACTGTGAAACATAAATTATATATTCTAGAGTTACAGTAAATATTTTCATTAGCTCTGTAATCTTTACAGAGCTCATTATTATTGCCATTGTGAATGTCCTAAAAGAATATTTACTATTAAAGTATCAATCAGAAATATATCTGTAGATAAATGTTCATCCAAAAAGATACAGTGTAACATTTCACCATTTCACCTTGCATACATAGCACTGAAATTGATGTCTCTTTGGTGTAATTGAAGCTTGTGGAGAACAGTGAATGTACATGATGATTTCTATCTTAAGTCTCTTTTCTTTTGGCTACTTTAAAGGTCATATACATGAAACCCTTCTCATGAGTTTTACATATCATAGTGTGATTTTTAATCACATGACTTTATTCTTAATAATATGTGATGTGTTGTATCCTCTTGGTATTTAAACTTTTCTTAATGGTGATGGTTTGGCAGGATAGTTGAGTGGATAAAAGCTTGCCAGTGAGCCAAATGACCTAAGTTTAATCCTTGGGATACACGCATGCAAAGAGGGAACCAACTCTCACAAGTTTTCCACTGACCTATGCTTGTACATTTTGATACTCTTACACACACATACACATAGACATGCAAACATGTACATGTGCAATAAATAAATGAATAAATTAATAAATAAAATTGAAATAAATAATTAAAATAGGTAACAAAGAGGAACTCAGACTGTCAATGTGCTTTTTCCTCCCAACCTATAAAGCCTGACTCTTCAAAAACAGAGAAATGCTCTATCTACCCTGTCCTCTTCCACCTTGGAAGTGAGACACACAGAAGACCCTTAAGTTCTCATCTTCTTCAAAGTTCGCTCATCACCTTTTAAATCTACTTGTTTATATGTCTGTCTACCCGTCTTCTATCATGTCAGGACTTACAAAACCATTTTATTAGTTTCCTTACTCCCCTATTGTACATTCATACTTTCTGACAGTTCAACTTCTTCCATTTTAGCACCCTGTCATACATTTAAAACTTTTGACTGCTACAGAAAGTCACAGTACCTATTTTATAAAAATTATTTTCACAGTTTTTCTCAGGACTAACCTGGAAGTATGCTAACATCTTGTACTCTGTTCAGCATCTACCTTAGAAATAATAAGCCTTAGAAGCTGTGCACTAAATATGCCAATGTGATGGAAATAGAATCTCACTCATTTTCTTTTGTAGTTCCAGGTGCAGCATTATGTCTCTCAGAGTCTCGTGACCCTAGGAAGTTGCAGCTTGTTGAGGAAGTCTATTATATTGCTACTACTATCCGAAGTGAACAGTTTTGTGGATGACCTGGGAGCCATCAATCAGGTACATATAACTTGAAGCTGTAACTCATTAACTTGGGTTCAACACAACTATCAGCTTTTGGCTTTGTTCTTTCTCTCTTCTTCTCCCCGTATTGATTTATTGATTTGGTACTATTTCATTTGTTGCATTATCTCTAATACATGTGAATATTCCTGCCTACTGAAATTACACAAGGGTACTTCAGCCAGTAGAGGTTTTGTTATTGTTGTTGTTTAATAAATCCATTTTGTCCTCCTTACTGACACACATGTACCAACGTTCTATTGTTCTTAGCAAAGGAATGTTTAGATGAACAGACTTAAATATTCCCAATGGTAATATAAAGTGAAATAGGGGAAAATAAGGTGGACCTGAGGATACTAAATAGAGAATGGTTCCTCTACCCTATTGCCTGAGAGAATTTTCCAGTTGAATTTTAAATATCCTGTTGTCAAGCCACACACAATCCAATTAAACAGAGGTCTCTGAAGGAGGATAGTTGGCACCAATATTGCAAAAGCATGCCTGGTATTTCCACAATGCAGCCTAGACTTAACGCCAGTTCCTCCAGCCCTTTCATTTGTACAAAGTGTTACATGTTACCTCTGTCAAACATGTGGAAGGAATAGAAGCCATTCCCAGATTCTGATGTTGATCATTGATATTGCATATGTTTACCCTATGTTATTTACCATCTCTATTGTAGAATTCCGGAACACAATTAAAAAGAAATCAGAAGGAAGTTGGCAAATTTATGTAAAAGTAAAGTAAATTTAATAAATCAAATATACCTTGGAGTTTTAAAGGGCTTTTGGGTTACCTATTTTCCTCTGACTTCTCTATGTTTAATGGAATGATCTTAAAACTATTCTAGTCTTGTTCAGTGGATGACACAGCATATCATTTAGTAAGCATTGTTTAGGTGATTCTGAGAGATAAATTTATAAAGTTATTGTCACAAATCTAAAAGAGAAATAAATAAGTCAAGCTGATTACTGTAAAAATAACAAAATGTTGAAATAAATGCATGGTGCTGTTTGTAGAAGTTCCAAGGTCAAAGAACTGGTCACAGGAGTTTACAAGCTCCCAAAGCACTTCTTGTAAAAGGAACAACTTTAAAAAAAAAAAACAGATTTGAGTGGAATCAGCAGAGAGTATCAGAATGCAAAGGAACTGGACTGTTACTTGTAAGAAGAGGTTTCCCAGGGTTTCTGAGGAAACAAGATGGGTTTGGCATTTAACAGGGAACACTGTGGGAAATAAGTATAATTGAATTGAATTATTTATCTGGAGCATAATAACAAGTTGAGAAGTCAAAATTTCATCTTTGTAGTTTAGTTTAATTTTGAAGTAGCATCATAGATATGGAACCAAACCTTAAGGTACCCACCCTTAAGTCAGTAAGACACTTGACCATGACTTCAGAAGGACATCTGCAAAAGCCATAATTTACACTTAAGTGTTCTATTATGCTACTTTAAGAAAACAAAAAGGGGGTTGGAGAGATGGGTTAATAGTTAAGACCACGTACTGTTCTTGCAGAGGACCCAGGTTCAAGTTCAAGCATCCATATCTATTATCTCATAGCTGCCAGTTCCAGCAATTTCAGTGGCCTTTTCTGGCCTCCAGGGGTATTGGATTGCACTTGGTACACATAAACTCATGCAGTTTAAAGACACATATGAAGGAGGGAAAGACAACTGAAGGGAAGAAAGTGAATTTAAATAATAGAAGAAGAAAAAAACAAAATAAGACTGCAAACAATAATGAATTGTTTGCAGGCATTTGTGGTAAATGCTTCACTTGTGCTGTCCTAATCAATCCTTTTGACAACCCTTCCAAATATTAGTATTGATCAAAGACAAAGAAACTATAAGTCAGCATTTCTAATGGCAAATAGCAGAATGCAGTGCAGCCAATTTAAACAAATGAATTAATGAGCAGCTATGGATATTTGGAAGTGGGCTGAAGTATGAGACTTTGGGCTGTACTTTCATGAATTAAACCTTTACCATACTGCAGAATTAGACTATCAAGGACATGGGTGACTATTTTTGCTGTCATGACCAGCAAACTGTGTACTGAATCCATCAGTGCTGGATCTTCTTTGGGGTTCAGAATGTTATGTGTCAGCATAGTATACAGAAGCAGACCATGTGAGCCTTATGTAAGATCTAGCTCACTATATAACTTACTTTCAATTGAACAGTTTCTTTTAATACAAGTAATAACATAAACAAAAAAGATAAAAGATATCGTTATGTGCATTCTTCACTATTTTAAACTGTGAAAAGGAGATAAAGCAATGAATGATAACTTTAGATCATGGGGTCCATCACATCTAGGGCTCAGAGAGTCAGTGCCATACTCTTAGAGAATGAACAGTAATAATGCACAAGTTGAAAAGCTTACATATGGGAAGCCAGATGGAATGCAAAGGGACATTGAAGATCTCAGATACAGGAAGTCACTTGTTCCCAGCCCTCAATTCATTGTATATACCAACAGATTCTAAAGGAAAGTTAATGTGGAGAGGTTAAAACTAACAACAAAAACAAAAACAATAAATGCCCAATTAAGAGATGTAGAAATGTCACTGAAATAGGCTACTGTGGAAAAATGCTTTTGTGTAGACAGAGAAATTGAGTTTGGATGTGCTGAACTTGAGGAAGCGTTGAAGTAACATAAATGTAGGAGACAATCTTTCCAAAGGTCTTAACTGATTCGCAGTTGGATACCTGTCTGCTAGACAACACTGGAAAAATAAAGTAACATTTATTAATGTCTTCTCTCTAGACATGTTAAAAAAAAGGATGTATAACCTTTAACCTTTAGGAAAAAAATGAGTTAGAAGAAATAAAACCCAAAATGGGGCTGGAAAGAGGGCTTAGTGGCTAAAAGCACCATGTGCTCTTCCAGGGGACCCTGGTTCAGTTCCTAGTACCTAAAAGGCAGCTCACATCAGGCAGAAAATCTGAAGTTATGCAACATCCTCTTCTGCTGTCTTAGGGCACTGTACATACGTGATGCAAAAGCATACATGCTAAATGTCCATACACATAAAATAAAATGAAAAAAAGTGATGGAAGATAATGACATTGGTAGTTATTATAAATGTGTTACGATAGTTTAACAACTTCTATTTCAAATCTATTAAATATCTTGAAGAATATGAGAATAGCAATAAGAAAATGGGAAATTTCAACAATAATATTGATAGCAGTATATCTATGAATAAAGTAATCAAAGTCTAAGTAAATATAAAAATGAAAGGAATCCTTACCAGTAAGCTCCATAAGTTATATTAAGTACATATTCCTTAGTTGCTAATTTCCTAAATGAACTGAAGAAGTAGAAGATAAAGTTATCTTCTGTTATCTAGAAAAGTTACATTTACAATTGTAATCAATTTCCCAAGTCAAAGTTCAGGATCAAATGATACTATGCTTACACAAACTCTAGAACATTGTTACTCAACCTGTGGGTCATGACCCCATTGGGATTGCATATCAGATATTCTGCATATTAGATATTTACATTACTGTTTATAACTAGGAAAATTATGATTTTGAAGTAGCAATGAAATAATTTTATAATTAGGGTTCACCACAACATGAGGAACTGTATTAAAGAGTCACAGCACAAGGAAGGTTGAGAACCACTGCTCTAGAGGATAAGAAACTTGTCTGAACCCAATTTAGAATCGCACTGTTATCTATCAAAACTATAAAAAAAAAACCCACTAACAACAAATACCAAAGCCTTATGTTGATACCTCTCATGATATTCTCATAGAATGAGAAGCTACACTAAATATTATGAAATGGAATCAAGCAATGTATGAAAATAATAATACTAAGTAACCAAGCAGAATCGACCCCAGGAATAAAACAATGTAATCACCATATTTTAAAAAGTTATAGCAAATTCTATTTCTGAGTATGTGGAAAAGACTATTGGCAAAATTTATCCTTCATGAATGATAAAAAAAAGTTGAAGAATATTGTCTGTATATGTTAAGATTTGTCCTGTGAAAAAATTACAGTTACCATTCCCCATGGTAAAAAGTGAATGATTATTTTCCCAGGCTGGAAACATGGAACTTTTTTTTAAAAAGTTTTTGTAAGATTAATGTAATTACAACATTTCTTCTTTTCATATCCTCCCTCCAAACCCTCTCATATACCCTTGCTCTCCTTCATACTAATGGCCTCTTTTTTCACTAATTTTTATTGCATGTATATGCATTCATATGCTTACATGTATACATATGTATATATTATAAACATAACCTGTTTTTTTAGTATGCTGTTTCTATGGTTATAATTAGCCCTGAAAATATAGAATATTTTTTTTATCATTTCCATTTAGCAAGTTGGGCTGCTGTACTTTTGGAATAATATGGCTACAATATCATTTATAGTCAACATGGCCATGAAGATAAAAAATCCAAAATTGTTTTCTATGGCTAACAGTCTGTTAATAATTCCTCATACATGCAGCCAATTGATTTTATACTTTGAGACAATTTCATTGGGAAAGATTGGAACAGTGCTCAGTATGATAATGGGGAAAATATTTGAATAGATCATTTATAAAAGTTGCTATATTAGTGATCAGAAAGAACATGAATAATTCACATGAACAGGAAGATACACTGGATAGAATTTTTAAATCTAAAAACACTAACAATACTATATATTGAAATGTGGGTATCAACCTGAATTTATAAATTGTTATTGGGAATGTAACAAAGGCACACAGTCTCTCAGAAAGTTAAGCATTCTCTTAAACCACCATTTGGCCTCACAATTCAAATAATTATGTTTACCTTTAAAAATCTTATACGTGAATGTTAATTGTATCTTTGTAATGGTTTGGATGATAAACATCCCCCATTGGCTCCAGTATGAATGAACAATTTTAGTCACCAATTGGTGGTGCTGTGTGGGTAGGTTTGGGTAGTGTGCCCTTGCTGGAGGAAGTATGTCACCTGGGCAGTCTTGGAGAGTTTAAAGCCT